AATTAATCAGTGTGATTACTATTACACAAAATATTGTGTACCACAAACACATTGAAACTAATTATCACTTCATTCATGGTGCAATTGCTTATTCTATTCTCCATGATTAGTCTTTTTCTCAAGAGCAATATACCAACAGCTTTATCAAATCCCATCCTCCAAATGGATTTTAAGAATTATATGAACTAAAGTTTTTGTATTTTATTACAATATATAAAACTACTTAGTAAATTCAAATATTTTCATTATGTATACTCTATCATTATGTAACGAAATTCTCAAACTACAAAGGAATATTTCTTAATCGTAGTATTTCCTTTCTTATTCTCTCCTTTAACCTATATATAGAGACCCATATACTATTGTGCATTACATAAACAATAACAAGAAATTCTCTTCTACTCCTTTATAACAAGTGCAAATATTATGTTCCATTAAGCAAGAAATTATCATCGACATTAGATATTCTTTGAGAAAAGGATCAAAATGGTTCCTTTATTTTTTATGAAGGACAAAAATTGTCCACGACTATATTAAAGGATAATTTGGATCCCTCAAGTTTTTAAAAATGAATCAAAATAATCTCATGGTGGGACTATTTTGATCTTTAATAAAGAGTCAATGAACTATTTTGATCATTTTCTCGATATTCTTTATATGTATTGCAATTGCATTCTCTAAAAGTATAGTCAATTTGGCAAAGGTGACCTATTCTATCCATATCTGAGCCAATAGAGGTTTGATGGGGAATTTTAGGGTTCAGAAAAACACTTAAAGGCCAATTTTCTCAATTACAAGCTTGAACCATACCTTCCAAGAATGTTATTTTTCCCCTCATTTTACTATTTGACATAACAGGTTCTAGAAGAATCTAAGGGGCTATTTGATTTGTTGCTTTTAGAGTGTAAAGTATTCCAAATGCAGGGGTTTTGAAGGTTTGAAGTAAAATGAATGTAGAGTGTAAAAGGAGTGTATTCCAAATACGCCAGCTAGTGCATTTTCGGTGTATTTGGAATTTCTCATATTTGGGCGATTTCCAAATACACCGCTAACGCACCAACATTGCCACCACCGGCCGTCCTCGACCGCCGACCGTCTGCCACCTACGGCCACCACCACCGAACACGACCACCTTCAAATACCACTGCCAGCCACCAGTGCCTCCCTCTGTTGCATACACCACCGGCCGCCGCACTCCATTGCCGATCGTCGACCCCCGGCCACAACCTTTTTGCACTTTCCATTCACTTTACTTCAAACCAAATAAAAAAAAAAGTAAAATCATGCATTTCTTTTACACTCATCAAAATAATTCCAAAGTATTCATTCTTCAGGCAACTAAACAACCCTAAATACTTTCTTTTAACTTCTTGATAATTAAGATTGAATCTTTCTGCAAACTAATGTGTTCTCCATTCTAATTCTTCATATTTTTTTCAGAAACTAAATTTAAACAAGTCAATCTGTGCTCTCGTCATTATTTACCTCTTGCCTTTTTTAGAATCAGGCAGACCAGAGGACATGAAAACCAATAGAGAAAATAAGATTCCTTAAAATCAGAGTACGTGTAGTATCAATGCTTGTTGAAACTGAAGATAAAGAGCGGGAATAGGAATAGGTATTGTGGGGATGGATTGTGGTGGAATGACAATTGGGTTTAGGTTGGCAATAAATGAATGCGCATGAACAAAGCATAGGACAAGAACCAACAGGGACATGATCATTTGTATGATTGAGCCTGGCATTTAGATATCACTTAATTTACCTGGCATCTAGCCGATGTTGATGACTTAAAAATAAATTTTATTGTTACTGTGGGTTGTCAGTAAAGAAAAAATTGGCATTTTGATATAATGTATGATATGTGGGGTGTCAATAAACCAAAAACTGGCATTTTGATATAACGTATAATATTATAATAAGTTAAACCAAATAGCCCCTAAGGATAATCATCATCATTGTTAGTAGAAAATGCAACGGACTAGAACAAAAGTGCACATGAAGACGAAGGGGAAAAGATGTACGTTGTCTCAAACTGTTCTGAATCATGTATAGAAAGTGTATAGGCCACATAACTCTCTGAACCCAAGAAAAGGACAGATGACACAACATTAGCATAGTTGGTTGAATTTCTCAAGGTATCAGAAATAAACAAATTTATCAATCACAGTTTCAAATGAAATAAGGGCTACTAATTATACTAGCCTTGTACCTAAATGAAGAACACTAAATGACATTAGTAAAAACAAGGAGTAGCATAAAATAACAACATAAGTAAATTAACTACACCCATCACTTCCCTAACTATTTGTGGTCTACATTATAAATTGTCATTCTCCATATGTATATGTTTGAGTGTTACAAGAGATATTAAATATGTTTTGGCATACAAGTTCTTGTTCACATTGGTACGCAGCCTTCTAATTCTGCTTACTTGTCACCTCAAAACATAGATGCACAAAATATTTGAATTAACACCATAATCTCTCAAACAGACTTCCTTTTGTAGTCAAACATGCAAATATTTTTGCTCAAGTTCAAACAATGTGATGCAAGCAAAAATTAGGAGAAAGCCTAATTTTTGCAAGCAAAATACATAACTTTCCTAGGTAATAGAAAATACAAAAATATACCCAAAAGGATACAAAATGCAGCAAATAAACCAAAAATAACTTCACTTTATAATATAAGAGGACTTACAAACTTTTGACGCTTACAAACGACAAAATAAAGACACCTTAAACACCTAAACTTGTTTTTCTTGGATCGAGAAGAAAGGTACTGATGGGGTGGATACTTGTGGAAAGAAGAATGAGATTAGAAGTCAAGACGAAGTATAGCTCGCAAGCTATAGAGAGGAGAAGAAGGAGAAGGCCTTAGCTCACAAGCTATTCCAAAGAAAGAAGAAAAACCTCTCAGGTTTTTATCCAAAAATTACATTATATCCAACTCTTTTTAAGACTCAAATCAGCCCCTATATATAGGAAGAAAGGGGGAAACCAAATAGCCACCCACCTCTATTCAAACCAATGAAAAAGAGGGAAATAGAAGGCCAAGAGACATTCCAAACAGCAGCTGAAAAGACATCCCAAATATCAGCCAAATTCATTCCAATCCAGCTTACAAGGGGCGGAACCAGCTGAAACAGAGGAGGCCAGGAAAAGGGGGGGGCGGAACCCCAATAGGCTTTTCACGGGAACAACAACAGCCAGGGGAAAACTGAGAGGACAAAGGAGTAGGGAAGAGACACAAGTCCACTCCACAATAATGAGCTAAATATAGAAGAATATCTTTTTGATTTTATGAGCTAGGAAATATATTTACTCTTCCAATTAATGAGCTAAACTTCAGCTCAAGCATTAATGAGCTAACACCAAGTAGATCTCAAAATTTCAGCTCACAACCAAAGAATCCAAAGCCCAACCAAGAGCAGCCAAAGGCCCAAACCGAGAAACAACAATCAGCCCAAAGAACAAAAGATCCAAGATGTTTTGACCCCCCTTGCCTACATCACAATGTATCTTTGGTTAGTCCCCCTTTCCACTTTTTTTGTGTAAGAATTTGAACCCCTAACCTTTTGTAAGAGATAAAAAACAAAATCACTCAACAAAGTGGTTGACTTACTGCTTTTCTTCTTAATGCTTCCACGGGACTTTTATTTATCTAAAATATTGGTACATCTTCTATCTTCCATTGGATTATAAATCTTATACAGCCATAGCGGGCAAACACACAAGGCAGCAAAAGTGTTCCCTAGCATGTCACTAATGCCCTTTAAAATGACTTAAATAAGCTCTGAATGCGTGCTATGTGGACATAAGAAAAAATGAAAAAAAAAAAATAAGACCTATATGATAGCCCAATTGAAGTAAAAGGGCTCAGTTGCAGAATCAAGATAATGTCATTAAAGAATTAATTCACTAATTAGTCAGTATCTATAATCAATCACGTATCTAATATTTATTCACATATTAGCAATGATGGTAGAAAAGTATCTACTCATAAATGAATAAAGCATGCGCAAAAAAGATTTTCAAAAAAAAAATCTACTAGAAATTAAATACGAATATCATGAATCAGCATATTGGAAAAATCAAAAGTCAATCCGAAAATTTGGAAACATTTAAAACAAATGAGAAAAGAAATAGTAGTTCACCACGTATATAAATGAATATACAACTCTAACTGAACAACAAAATTCAACTCCATCTCCACAAACAAACCATCATATTACATTAGCCTTTCTTGAATAATTCTGCGTAAAAAATAACCAACCTTCCCAATTCATTAATTAACAAAGTGAACTTTTGTTACATCAAGGATGAAAGCTCGTATCTTTGTGAAATCCAATTCAGTGCAAGTAGGATCATGTTCAACAAAAAATAAAAAAAGTAATGTTCACAAAAAGGTGAAATATAATTTAATTGATTCTACACCAAGTTGAATGATAAAATTTAAAAAAAAATTAAGTGCCTCATCAATAGCTTTATGATCATTAGAAACACAGTTTAAGCTCATCCACTTAGAGAGAGTAGTGTTGAATACATTTGGACAAGCAAACCCAACAAGTGTAGCATTGTAATGAAGCCTTAAAAATCAAGAACAAACTACTAGATAATGAATCAAAAGGGGAAATATAAAATATCTTCTAATTTTGCAAAATATTCTTAAGGGTTACACCTCAAAGAGCAAAATTAAAAGTATAGATAAATTAAATTTACGAACCTGAGCTAGGAGCTTAGGATAGACGGTACACATTAGTATAAAAAGACTTAAGTTTTGCATCTAATAAACATATCTTTAAATCATGAATTGTGATTTCACGCCTCTATATTTCTTTTGAAATGGTTGATGGCAGTCTATGAGAGGACATGATAATGGAGTTGTAAATAATAGATGATAAGTAAACATGGAAAACAGAAAAGAAAATTCAGTTAGGTCAGACCATCAGAATGCAGAATAAAGGGAAAGTTTAGTGAATGTGACCTACTGACGCATACCATAAGTTCGCTGTCTGTTTCGAGATAAAGAAGAGAAGCCAACTGCTCACCAATAAAAGGCTCCAACTCTTGGCAGTCTCGACTTATCTGAAACCATAAAAATTTACATGAGAAACAAAATCTGTATAGAGAACTACATCATTTGCTTCTTTTGCCTATAAAAGAAAAAAAGATTGAACTCCTCTAAGTTTTGTTTAATGACTACATAGGTCAAACTTGTAACTAATCAATACAAAACAAATAACATAAAATTCTCAGGATACTTCAATAACACAAAGAAAGGTCATTTAGTATAAGAAGAAAATTACAAAATAAAGGTCATTGACAGTACAAATCTAATGTTGAATGCCACATAAGTTCATAAAAAGAAACCACACGACATTATCAAGACAATTACCATAATTTCTTAAAGATCAAAGCATCCATTCAGAAAGTGCATGAACTATTTACTGGTTTACAAGCATCCTCTCTCATGTGAATTCCGTTTCAATACAACAAAATGCATTCTTGCAAACAGTGTGCAAGAATCCACACCCCCATACTTCCCAATTAAGTATGAAAAAAATGGCAAACATATCGCACAAAACTTGGCTTGAAACACATCACACATATCAAAGAAACAATCAAAAGTCATATGTTTGCAAAAAAGTCCGCGTGAATGTGTTTGGAGCAAAAAGGACATCACAATCAATTCGATCGACTATGATGTAAACACGAACAACAGACATGGTATCATGCAAGTTAAGTTGGAAATGCATCACAAAATACCAAACTGCTCAATCGTCGCTCTTTTGCAAAATAGAATACACCGAAGTATCCAAAATATTGAAAATGCCTAAAAAGATCACAAATAATATTTGGATTGCCGCACAAGAAAACTCTGAGAAATTTACCCTCGTGCCAGTCAACGAGACATGCGAACAATGAAGAAAATGCGAGATTGAATTACTTCTAAAAAAACCTAGCCCATCAAATCCACATCAGCCCAAATCCATCTAAAATTCTTCCAATTTAACGTCTGTTCAATTTAGCCGCCCGAACCTCACGTCATTAATAAAAAAAATGGGGGAATTACATACATGCCACTTTATTACATCTATATTGCATATTTAACATCCAAAACTTAAATATTACATTCCTACCACCCAAACACTAATTTAACAACAAAAATACAACTCCGTCCCACAAGTCCTCACTCTGTCTCTTCCTATCGCATGCTCTACCCGCGAAACATCACATGGAAGATCTGACTGTTAGATATGTAAAGTAGAAACAACACATGGAAGAACTTTGGAATAGTATTACCAACATTTATCTTTGTTTCTGTAAAAAAAAAATTATGACAGGCTTTTCTCTAGATTTTTCCTCTCTACCGTTGGATTTTAGTGCCCTCGAATTTGTCGAGCAGTTGTTTTTGTTGTTTTGCTTGATGCTTTTATATGTTTTGATAATAAACTTTGCTCTGAGTTTCCTTTTTTCAGACTTTGTTGATTCCACGGAAGTTGTGCTAATATTTTTACTAAAGCTAAATTGATCTCTTCCCTATCCCAAGGAGGTTATTTCACTTGCTTTAACTCTTCCACCAAATTTGTCAAAAAATCAACTGAGAGTCTTGGTTCCTGCAACTTGCAGCAAGAACTCCCAAAGCTCTTCGAACTTGCTTCCATGAAAAAGTAATCTTCTTCATCTTCCTCTCTTCCTCATGCAGTCATGCGGGAAGGAATGACGGAGTGAGGGCTTGTGGAGTCAGAGTAGTATTTTTGTTGTTAAATTAGTGTTTGGGTGGTAGGAATGTAATATTTAAGTTTTGGGTGTTAAATATGTAATATAAATATAATAAAATAGCATGTATGTAAATCCCGCTAAAAAAATTTATCTTTAAGAAAATGAAATTAACTCCCTCTCTCCCGCTCTTTGAACCTCTAACTCATTGCTGCAAAATCACATAGTTCGCCCCTATTCCCTCATGCACTCTCCAGCCCTTCTATATTTTGATGCCCTCACCTCTTTTTCTTTAGCCGGAACCGCATGCAGTCCCTATTTCTCATGGTAGCCCATGATGTAGGAAGCGAAGACTTGGGCTTCTCTATGCACTCCTCCAAACAGTTCCTTCATCTCCCACAAATCCTCTTGCCCTAGTTTCCTCTCTTCTCTCACACAAACCCATCCTGCAACTCCAATGCCAACATGCGCCCTCTAACCTCCAAGCTCCAACCCATCTCCAAGCCCCTGACTCCTACTCCATCTTTCCCGCTCGCTCTCAACTGTTGGTGCTCATGAACTCCTCCAAACAGTTCGCAGCTTGCTAGTCACCCGCGCTAGATCTGAGATAGTGAGATCATGTAAGACCCTCGCCCTTCTACCTCTACTCAACTAACCCTCATGTCTCTCGTATTTGGACTTTTTTTTCGTAAGCAAACTATCTTCCTTCTTGGAAACATTTGGTTGGTAGAAGAGGTGAGTAGAAAAAACATTTGTAATAGTTTACAACAACAACAACAAAAACATCAATCCTTTATCCCATTACGTGGGGTCAGCTACATGAATCATTTTTCTCCATTTTGTCCTATTAAAAGTCAAATTCTTGTTTAAATCTAATAAAGAAAGGTCATTCCTAATATTTTCTAACCAAGTTTTTTTAGGTCTACCCCTACCTTTCTTAACACAAGTCAAATCTAATACCTCTACTCTCCTAACTGGGTCATCGTAAGGCCGCCTTTTTATATGACCAAAC